ATGGTACTCATGCTCTCAAATGAATCCATCTGACACAAGGTTTCCAAACTGATTTTCTTTTTTTCTTTTTTTTTTTTTAGATAGAGTTGAGATAGACTCTCACTTTGTCACCTTTGGTAGAGTGCTATGGCATCATAGCTCACAGCAACCTCAAACTGTTAGGCTCAAGCAATCCTCTTGCCTCAGCCTCTGAGTAGCTTGGGAGTATAAGCATCTGCCTCAACACCTGGATATTTTTTAGAGACGAGGTCTCACTCTTACTCAGGCTGATCTCAAACTCACGAGCTCAAGTAATCCACTTGCCTTAGCCTCCCAAAACGCTAGGATTATAGGCGCGAGCCATCATCCCCAGCCTCAGACTGATATTTTTTAAGGAACTATTGCTTATTTTGAAAATTCCCATTCAAGCTCAAGATATTTCAGTGACTTTCTACTATCACGGATACTCTAAAATTTGGGATGCTTCAGAACCAGGTGATAGCATATAGCAATAAAATATAAAATAAAATAGGTATGCTTAAATGCCCAGGCAAAAAGTGGCAACCAATCAGAGGATACTTGAAACCACGGGAGAAAAGTGACACATTTTCCAGAGTATCAATTTTACTTGATTATGAGTAATTTAAAACATAAACTCTCCCTCCCTGAAATTTTCCCTGACTTATATCAAGCAGATACAGAATTTAATGCAAAAAGAAAAAAAAATTTGAACTCAGATGCATACAAGATTTTTTGTGTGTGTTATTAATTTTGGATCGTAACACATTCTGATCATTGGTGTATTCAAGGCCCTCAAGCATTCATTCTTTCAGAATAATACAACAAATACCTATGAACTCACCACCAACATGAAAACTAGGACATGAATTTCCATTTACATTCACCTCTGATTTTCTATTGCATCACCTGGCCTCTTTCCACTCAGGTAGGGTGGAAATCACTTTTAATGTCACATGCAAGTATATTAAAAATGTTGCTTTTGGGGGCTTTAGAGGTTATTAACTTTATAAAAGGTCCACCACACACTATATGTAATTTTTTTTGTTTTTTGTTGAGACAGAGTCTCATTTTATCACCCTCGATAGAGTGCCTTGGCATCACACAGCTCACAGCAACCTCCAACTCCTGGGCTTAGGTGATTCTGTTGCCTCAGCCTCCTGAGCTGCTGGGACTACAGGTGCCCACCACAATGCCCAGCTACATTTTTGTTGCAGTTTGGCCAGGGCCAGGTTTGAACCCACTACCCTCAGTACATGGGGCCAGCACCCCACCCACTTAGCCACAGGCATCACCCCTGCTGTTTGTTTTTTTTTAGAGATAGGGTCTTGCTCTGGCTCAAGCTGGTCTCAAACTCGTGAGCTCAGGAAATCCACCAGCCTTGGCTTCTCAAGTGCTGGGATTACAGGCATGAGCCACCAAGCCCAGCCAATTAAAAATTTTTTTAAAAATTTTGATGATATATACATAACGTGAAGTTTACCACTTTATTATTTATTTATTTTTTTGAGACAGAGTCTCATTCTGTCACCCTGGGTAGAGTGCTATGGTGTAATAGCTCACAGCAATCTCCAATTCTTGGTCTCAAGCAATCCTCTTGCCTCAGTTTTTTCTATTTTTTAGTAAAGACAGGGTCTTGCTTTTTGCTCAGCTGGTCTCAAATGCATGAGCTCAAGCTATTCACACACTTCAGCCTCCTGGAGTGCCAGTATTACACCACATCTGGTGTAGGATAAATTTTTTTTTTTTTTACAGTTTTTGACTGGGGCTGGGTTTGAACCCGCCACCTCCAGCATATGGGGCTGATGCCCTACTCCTTTGAGCCATAGGTGCCACCCCAGGATCAATTTTTTTATTCCTGAAGAAAATGTCATTGAGATTTCAACAGGGTTTAGATTCAATCTGAAGATCACTTTGGATAATCCATAAAGACAGTCTTTCAATGAGACAGTGTCTCTCAATGTATGTATTTTCTAATTTCCTTCAGCAATATTTCATAGTTTTTAGTGTATAAGTCTTTTGTTTCCTTGGTTGAATTTGTTCATAAGTATTTTATTTTTGATTTTTGGTTGGGTGTAGTGGTTCACACCTGTAATCCTACCACTATGGGAGGCCAAGGTAGGTAGACTGCTTGAGGTCAGGAGTTCAAGACCAGCCGGAACAAGACCAAAAAAATACAAAAACTAGCTGGGCGTTAAAGCAGGTGCCTATTGTCTCAGCTACCTGGAGACTGAGGCAACAGGATTGCTATAGCAGGACTGTGAGGTTGCTGTGAGCTAGATGCCACGGCATTCTAGCCAAGGGCAACAAAGTGAGACTCTGTCTCAAAAAAAAAAAAAAAGTATTTTTGATGGTTTTGTAAATGGAATTTAAAACATTTTCTTTGTTGGTGTTTCATTGAAATGCTACTAATTTTTGCATCTTGTAACTTTATTCAATTTATTTTTAGCTCTGACAGTTTTTTCTTTGGTGGAATTTTTACGGTTTTCTACATAAAAGAGTATGTAAACTGCAAACAATTTTACCTCTTCCTTTCCAATTTGACAATTCAACTTTTAATTTTTGCCAAGTGAAAAGACTGGTCCTGAAAACAGTTCACCGATCATTAATGAAGCTGAATACCTTCTTATATGGAAAGCATTAATATAAAATTCACATATGATGTTAGCATAAATACAAAGTTCTAAGCTTCAGGCTCCATCTCCAGATCTTAGGCTCTCATTCCCTCTCTTCTCTTCCTAATGAGTGCTTAAGTAGAAAAATTTTGAGGACTAATAGGCTATAGCATCAGCCTTTCTATCAGTTGCACAAATGAATAATCTACTGCTTATATATATATATATTTTTGAGACAGAGCCTCAAGCTGTCCCTCTGGGTAGAGGGCCGTGGCATAGCTCACAGCAACCTCCAACTCCTGGACTCAAGTGA